TTGAGTCCTGGAAATGGGAAGTGCAATGCCTGCACTTGAAAGGAGGAGTTTGGGATATTTTCAGTTTGGAGAGATATATTGTGTATTTTTATTTGTATATACTTATAAGCTGTTGTATTCTGGGCACCTCTGCAAAAACAGTGATTATGTGCGAGTGAGGTGAAAGTGTTGAATGATGATGAAAGTATTTTCTTTTTGGGGATTTTCTTTCTCTTTGGTCACCCTGCCTCGGTGGGAGACGGCCAACTTGTTGAATAAAAAAAAAAAAAATTTGCACTGTTCATATCTGCAGATCAGTATTTGTATAAAGTTAGTAGACTGCACAGTGCCCTATTTGCAAGTGCCAATGTTCATAACTTGCTTGATTATAAGGCAGGGGACTACCGTATATAGATGAAGAAATGCCGAAAAAAAATTTTCACAACATATATCCTATCCAGAAGACAACCAGACATTAAGAATATGGGTATTAAAACCTGTAGTACTAGAGTTCAGTACTGTATAGAAATTTTATAGTACATAATTTACAGTAATGTTACTTATCTTTTTGTAGTGCAGAGATGAGTTGTAAACTGTTATGATCAATAGTGGTGACTCAGAGAAACTTTTATTCTGAATCAGAGGTGCAGCAAAGCTTACTAGTGAAAAATGTAGATGGCTGAATAGATGTTGAATGAGGAACAGGTCTGAATATTGCATTTACTGTCTGCCATATTCATGTTGTTACTTTATGAAACATTCTCTAAGAATTCGTAAGTACTTCTGCCAAAGACATCTGTGTACTTGGCGAGAACATCAGTCGCATCTCTTACAACTAACAGTTTTGGTGGCCTCTCAATCTCTTCTTTGTTATCAACATCACTATCCTCTTTTTTAGGCCAGTACTAATACCAAGAGACTGCTCTGCAATTTCTGCATCACTCAATATGCAGTAACCAGGATTACCAATCTCTTCTAGCCATGCCATCACATCTCCCTCCGTAACTTAAGTTTCTCCAACCCTCTGAAGGGTACAATGAAAATCAATGGCTTCAAAACCCTGAAAGTCCAACTCAGTATCATGGTTGTTTAAAAAAATAAAAGTAACTATTAGCTAATGTTGTACTTTGCAGTTCCTTCCACGACACTGCAAGACTGAAGTTGGCAGACATCAGGTTATACTTTTTTGATGTTCTCCAATGTATGTAGGCTTCTATTACCTCTTTCTAGATCTTCAGCCTCCTCAATCATTACCAGTATTTCATCTATTTACCTAAACTGATACAGCTTCTTGCAAGCTGCAACAATCCCCTGGTCCATAGGTTGCATCAGGGAGGTGGTATTAAGGGACAGAAAAATGGCCTTAATTTTACCATTTGTGCTGCTTAAATTATCAGCCCTTGCATGAGCAGGTGCATTATTAAGCAAGAGAAGAGCCTTGACATCCTCAGAATCTAGTGTAAGGACTAAAGTTGGTGCTTGCTTCCTTCACTGATAAAATTTGTAAAAAAATAGTCATCAAATATATATCTGTCAAATCAGCCTTTCTTGAAACCATAAGGCCATGTTAATCTGCCTAAGACCATCAGTTTCAAACAGTAAGAACCATCACCATTAGAACAACATAATACAGAAAGTTGGTCTTTGCTGAACTTAATGCCTGATATTGTATCTTCAAGCTGAAAGACAAGTGCTGGAAGAGTGAGTGCCAAAGGAGACCAGTCTCATCAACATTATACAGCTGAGACTGAGCTTCTCACTGTTCATCAGATCACTTAACATTAATCTGAATGGCTCAACTTCATCCATGGGTGCACTACCAGCCTCAGTGTAAATCTTGACATTACTCGAGCCATGACGATTATGGAAGCACCAAAGCCAACCATTACTTGCTTGAAATTCTACATTTATATGTTTTGATAGCCTATGAGCAGCAGAGTGAAGATTAACACAATGAACATTAACACCAACAGAACATTGTCAAACATACCATTTATGCACTGCTGCTACATGGTTTTTATCATGAACTGTTTTCACGTGCTTTCTAGGACACAACAAATGATAGATGATACACAAATAACCCGCACATAGAAGAGAGGAGCTTACGACGATGTTTCGGTCTGACTTAGACCATTTACTAAGTCACACTGGCTTTATGCCATTTACTAAGTCACACTGACTTAGTAAATGGTCCAAGTTGGATCAAAACATCGTCCTAAGCTCCTCTCTTCTATGTGCGGGTTATCTGTGTATCGGTCCAGTCACAGTATTGTGCCTTTTTTTGTTATTGATAGAGAGATGAGCCAGCAAGACTGGACCTAGTATTTACTGCAAGTACATCTAACATAGGTGAAATAGAATATGAGAGCCTCCTGTCTGTTAAACTTAGAGTACCTTGTGGAACTAAATGTTGATGGATGTGGTGGGAAAGGGAACTGGAGAAAAAACTCGGCAGTTGAAGTGGAATACCTAATTGAAAAGTGGAAACAGTAAAGATAGAGTGTCTTTGATTCAACCAAAGATGTAGAAAGGCAAAAAGAGAAAAAGCACGAGAGCATTGAAAAACTACAGAAAAAAAAACAACAGCAACAGAAAAGAGCAGATTAACCAGGAATGAATATGCAAGGAAGAGGAGAGGCTGAGTGACAATTTCAGAATGACGTAGCAGCAAAGGCCAAGTTTCAGCCACAATTGCTTCACAGCCACATCAGAAGAAAGACATTAAACTGCTAGGTGAATAAGAGCAGAAGGTGTAAGGAAACAAGCTCAACATTTCAGTCATGTCTGAGATTGATTCTGAACCTTAACCCTTTGACTGTTTACGCCGTATAAATACGTCTTACTCGCTACTGTTTCTGATGTATATATGTATACTCAATAATTCTAGCGGCTTCAAATCAAGCGGAAAAAAGCTGGTAGGCCCACATGTGAGAGAATGGGTCTGTGTGGTCAGTGTGCACCACATAAAAAAAAATCCTGCAGCACACAGTGCGTAATGAGAAAAAAACTGATAGTTTTTTTGGATTAAAACACCGACTTTGAGGTGTATTTTCATATAGTATTTATTGCTGTATTCGCGTTTTCATGGTCTTGGGTGATAAAATGGAAAACGTATTACAGAAATAGAGATGATTTTCATTACTTTGACGATGAAAATGACCTTGAAACTGAGCTCAAAGTAGCGGAATGTTCGATTTTTATCAATGTTCAGGAGTAAACAAATCACACCACACGTCCAATACACGTCAACTGGGGAGTCTAATATTCTTTCACTAGTGCACTGATATTATTTATACCATTTTTACAATAATGCAGTAGTCTGCATAACAGTAAATTTCGTATTTTTTTGTATGAATAAATCAAAATAGAAAGCAATAATAATATAAGAGGGGCCTAGAGATGTGACTAATGAACAGAGGATATGTTATTTTAGTGCCAAAAATGTCTACCTTGTTTATTCTGGACCCTATTTTGAAATTGGCATCTTTTTTAATTTGCGTGAAATTGGCCAAATTGCCAATTTCTGACCACTATACGTATTGGGTAGTTCAAATTGGTAAATAGGCGGTTTCTTGTACTCAGCTGATAGATAAAATGGAGTTCTAAAGAAATAGCTATGAGTTTGGTCAACTGAAAGAACAGAATTGGCTGAAAACAGGGCTTAAAGGCGGCGAAATTGCCGATACGCATATGTCGCTGAGACCGCTAACTTCGTGGGAGCGTAATTCTGTGAGCTTTCGACCAAATTTCGAACTTTTGGTGTCATTACCATCGGGAAAAGATTCTCTATCATTTCATAAGAATTTTTTTTTTTTTTTTTTCAAAAATTTATCCACATAGAATGACAGTTTCAGAAAGGGGCCTGCGACAGTCAAAGGGTTAATGTGTGAGCTAAGGATGCTACCAAGCCACAAGCACCTATAATAACCAGTACAGGTTCAGAGATGGCAAATCTTGTCTTATCAACCTTTTGGATTTCTATGGCAAGTAACAGAAGCGAGAAGTGAGACAGGAGAAAGAGAGGGATGGGTGGAATATATTTTCTTAGACTACAGGAAGGCATTAAATACTGTACCCCACCAAAGATCAAAACAAAAACTTGAGATGCACACAAATACCTGGGAACATACTCCAGAGGATCAAAGAGTACCTCAGGGAAAGAAAGTAAAGAGTCAATGTCCAGAAAGAGATGGCAGAATAGGGAAGCACAATAAGCATGATTCTGCAAGGATCTGTATTAGGACCCATGTCGTTTCTGGTTTGTGAATGACATCCCAGATGGAATTGAGTCAGATGTCCTTGTTTGCTGATGTATACATCTGTGAATAAAAACAGAAGAGGATAGGGGAAAAGCTACAAATAGATCTAAAACCCATAATAAATCTTAAACCCAGTGGTGCAGCCATGGGGCAAGGGGGTATAATAAGGGATAAAGCCCCTCCCCAAAAGTAAATAATTTTTATTTTTTTTCCAATTAATGGTTAATTTTCACTATTACGTGGACCAGTGACTACTGGCTAAGGCAGTGGTGAGGCAAACTAGAAACACAACTTCAAGAGTAGATATGATAAGGCTCAAGAGGCTAGAAATTCATGAAACCAATCAAAGTCTATGACGAAGGGCAAAAGTGAAGTCTCAAACTTCACAAGCACAACTCTGCAAGTACACTCAAGATTTTGCTACAGATGTGTACTGTGCTTGCAAGTGTGCATGCACAAATAGAGGCAAGTCCCCATTTTATGAACATTCAAATTACAAACACACACACACGCACACACACACCAACAAGGGCATTTTAAAACCAATTAGTTTTATTTGTGCCAATCTTCAGTTACAAACATGAATGACTGTGAAAATAGGCTGAGTTGCAAACAACTTATTTGTAAGTTGAAACAACTGGAACACTAGTCCATGAGTTAGGGAACCTCTGTACATGACATCAAAGATTAAAAATTATAAAGTTACAAACTTTAGACAAGTCCTTGTTAAACTTATTAGTCTAATGCAACCAATGAACTTACCAAAACATTTTGAAAGGTTGGTCTGTTTGTCAATGAAAACTTTTGCAGAAATGACTTTGCCAAATGGCCAGAATGCATGGGCAAGCTCCTGGTCTGTAAACTCCTGTGGAAGGTGGTAGATAAAGAGGTTTGCCCCATCAGGTCCCTCCACCTGTTTGCCTGCAGGATTAGATGATGATGCAGCTCCTAACCCAGCACTCACATTATTGGGGAAGCCTGTAAAATAATTCAGATTTTATTAGCAAGATAAACTATCAATAATATAATAGAGTAATAATTTTCAAACTAACATAAAGGGAGTACAGATGAGAGCAAATAACATATAAGATGAACTCCACCAAAGGGCTGCCTATTTTCAGTTTTTATTGTCTTATTCTCTTCAAAGGTGATGTATCGATGCTGGTGAAGGGCTTTTTTTTCCAAGGAATTTGAGGGGCACTAAAAAGCAAAGCTGGGGTACAAGACATCAATCAATTCAAAATACCATGTCTATGAAAGACATTGAAAAATCTTCAGTTTTTGTTGTGATTTTTTTTTATTTTACTATGCTGTTTAAGTTAAGTGTTGCATGCTGTTTTCTTCTAAATGCTTTGTATTCCTTCATCTTTACTCCTATGGTCCTCTTCAAGGGGGGGCTCCTTGGCGTGGTGAAGAGGCTCTTGGTCTGAGGAATTAGACCTGTCGGTCTTCTTCCTCAGACTGAACCTAATTACCCCCCAATCTCCCCTCCCCTATCCCATCCTCCCCACCCTCTCCTTTTTCCTTTCCTCCTCCTCCTCCCCACCCCTCCCTTTTGCCCTTCCTCTTTTTGGCCTTTGGGATTTCTCCCACAGGCGCGCTAGTTCCTAGGTAGGGGAAAGGATACCGGGGTCCATCCCATTCCATTGAGGTTCTTGGCGGTGGCGTAGTTTGCCGTGGAATCTGGATCGCCTGGGGATGTCCCGATCCCTCTCCGGTATCCCGGAGTAGCTTTGGGTGTCTTTCGGGCGACGGGTGTATCTCTGGAAGCCACCTTTCGGATTCTGGGGGTGGTGGCCGAAGGAGGTATGCTTTGTGGCGGATATCCGGTCGCCCTCTCTTTTGTCCACCGAGGTAGCTCGGCAGATGTGAGGTTGCTATCCTGGATTGTTAGTTTACTAGCATGATGGGTAGGGTATGGCACGGGTTCCATGCTGCATCTGCGCTACTTGCGGTGCTGAGGTCCTCTTGGGCGCGGAGGGGGATTTCTGGCCCTTTCATTCCTCCTAGGAACTATCCCTCCCCGGTCTCCCCTTTTTTTATTCTTTTTTTTATTTTTATTTTCTTTTCTTTTTTTTTCTTAAAAACAAAAAGAAAGAAGTAACCTAACCATGGCAGCCCTAGTCCATGAACCTACTACCCCCGGGCCCCTTCTTGATACCGCACCCCGTTCTGACCCCGCCTCGTCTTTGGACCACTCTTCAGACACTCCTCATGCCTCTGTACCTCTTGCCGGTGCTGTTTTCTCACCCGCTTCAGGTACTGAGGCCTCGACTGACTCCTTCGATTTATCGGACCTTCGCTCTCCTCTGACTATGCTTCCGGCCTCTCCCTCTACGGTGCGGCAATTTTCAAATCGCCGACCCGTTCCACGTTGGACCAACTCTGGTCCCACGCCTAAACGCCAACGACAATTACCTGCTGATGATACTTCTCCACCTTCTCGTTCTTCTCAGAAACAATTGACACGTCCTTCACTACCTTTCGACGCTCAGTTTCAGACTGAACAATGGACTAAATTCTTCACTTTACGACCGACTTCCTCTACTGCCTATCTTTCTGACCACAGTATTGGCAAGGCACTCCTACGTCATGTTGGTAAAGATATTTCTTTTCATGCTCTTAAGAGTGGTATGCCCATCATCACCATACAGAATGCTGCCCAGGCTCATGAGCTCTCTTGTCTTTCCCATATCGATACTGTTCCTGTCACTCTTGAAAAACATCATTCCCTCAATTCTTGTAGTGGCACCGTCATTCTGCCCCATACCATAGTTCAACAAAATTTCCAGACATGTGGCACTGACATTCTTGAACAGCTGGAACTCCAAGATCTCCCAATCCTCAAGGTAGACACTTACGTTCTTCCTGCCCGCGGGCGGAGACGATACCCTAGCAATGTGGCTCGTTTAACTTTTGACAGCCGAGAGCTCCCATCCTCAGTTTATATAGCAGGACATCGGTTACAAGTTCGAAAGGTGATCCCTACACCACAACAGTGTAGAAATTGCTGGCGATTTGGCCATCCAGTGAAATATTGCAGATCTATCGCCGAATGCCCAGTCTGTGGTGCCAATGACCATTCTAATACGTCTTGCAATCGATCTCCCTCTTGCCTTAACTGTCATGAGGCTCACCCTTCGTACTCTCGCCGTTGTCAAGTCTATTTAAACGAGCGGGAAATCCTTTACCTCAAAGAGACAGAAGGTCTCCCTTATGCCATGGCAGTTTCTCATCTCCGTCTCCAAGGGAGACTCCCACGTGTTTCTTATTCCCGTGTTTCAAAACGTCCCCCCACTTCTGGTATCCCATCTTCTACACCCACCTCTGTGGTTACCTCTCCCATAGTCACTCATGTATCTAATCCTTTTGCTGTCCTCGGCTCAGACGTCCCTACTTCAACGCCTCAGTCTGATCTCGCTTCTTCGTCTTCTCTCTCACAAGCCTCGGTATCGACGAGACCTCGTACGACACCTCCTCCCAATCGTCCCTCTACTTCTCAAAAGTCAAAAAAAAGTCCGTTAACACCTCCTACCCATCTTCCACCTCCTCATTTTACCCTCCCTGTCTCTGTCCCTGGTTCTCCCCCTCTCACTGGCTCAGTTACAAGTGTAGAGGTTCACCCTCCTCCTCATACTGTATCTTCCTCCCCTGTTCCCTCCCAAGTTTCTTCCTCTTCTGCCACCTCCCAGGTTTCTGCCTCTTCTGTCCCCTGCCACGCTTCTCCAGTTCCCTCCACCCTTTCGCCCCCCTACCTTGGTACAGTCCAATACAGTTCCAATCTTTACTCATCCTCCCCCTACCATTTCCAATATTGTCTCCCATACGACGTCTCTGAATTCCGAAACACTTGAAGCAATCTCTGAATATATTGCAGAGACCAAACCATCAATGGACACTGATCCACCTTCCGCTCTTTCTCTCTCCTCTGCTCCATCTGCGCAACTCCTTTCTTCACAGCGCACCGTTCCTTCGCTGCTTGAACGTTTTCCACTGCCTCCGCATGTGGACTTTTCTAACCCCTCTAGTCCGTAGGAACCCTTACCTGCGGATTTCAAGTATGTTTATCAATGCCAATCATGGCCTATTTACAGTGGAATATACGCGGCCTCAGGGGTAATCGGGGTGAGCTTCAGATGTTACTCTCCCAGTTTGCCCCTGTTGGTGTTTGCTTACAGGAACCAAAATTACACTCTGCTGTTATTTCTCCCATCTCAGGCTATAATTTATTGTATTCTTCAGATCCTTTTCCTGATGGGACCTTTAATGAAAGTGCCCTTCTTCTACGCACTGATATTCCGTACCATCAGCTATTTGTTTATACTTTGCTGCATTACACAGCAGCCCGTATCCACTTGCATAGGTGGTATACGCTCTGTTCTTTATGTCTCTCTCCTTCTCGGGCATTATCTATTCCGGATATTGCCTTTCTTGTTTCGTCATTACCACCACCGATTCTGTTACTTGGTGATTTTAATGTCCACCATTTCCTCTGGGGGGGGTCTCACTGTGATTCCCGTGGAATTCAGTTAGAGGCTTTTCTTACCACCCACCCCCTCCATGTTTTAAATACAGGTACTCACACCCATTTTGATCCTCGGACTCATACTCTCTCTTGCATCGATATCTCAGTCTGCTCTTCCTCCGCCGCATTAGACTTCACTTGGTCTGTTCTCCCGGACTTACATGACAGCGATCATTTCCCAATCATTCTTACTTCCCCTTCATATTCGCCACCTCTTCGCACCCCACGCTGGCAATTTGATCGGGCAAATTGGAACCTTTACTCACACCTAACTGTTTTTAAAGAGGTTCCTTCTTCGTCCTCCATCGATGAGCTTTTACACCTCTTCTCGTCCTCCGTTTTCACCGCAGCTTCTCATTCTATACCCCAAACTTCGGGCAGGCATTCTCAGAAATGCGTGCCTTGGTGGTCTCCTGCTTGTGCTCGTGCAGTACGTTTGAAAAGCGCTGCATGGGGCAGGTATCGGTACAATAGAACCACAGAGAGACTCCTTGATTTTAAACAGAAGCGTGCGATCGCTCGCCATGTCATCCGTGACGCTAAACGCACTTGCTGGCAAGATTATGTCTCCACCATCACCTCTGCTTCCTCTATGAGTGCAGTCTGGAAAAAAGTACGAAAACTGAGTGGTAAATATTCTCCTGACCCGGCTCCTGTTCTGCGGGTTGCCGGTGTTGATATAGCAAACCCACTAGATGTTGCCAATGAAATTGGCAAATATCTGGTTTGTATTTCTCAGGGACTCCATCTATGCCCCTCATTTCTTTCCTCAAACTCTGCCAGAGAGTTAGCACCCTTGGACTTTTCTTCTCTCAGAGAAGAACAGTATAATGTGCCTTTTACACTTCAAGAACTGGAGGCAACACTCTCAGCTTGTCGATCATCGGCAGCTGGGCCCGACGACATTCATATTCGTATGCTACAACATTTACATCAGTCAGCCCTTGCAGTCCTATTAAGCCTTTACAATCTTACTTGGTCACAAGGAGTTCTTCCACAGCTGTGGAAATCCGCCATTGTTCTCCCTTTCCGCAAACCAGGCACTACGGGACATGAAACCTCCCACTATCGTCCCATTGCTCTTACCAGTGCAGTTTGCAAAGTAATGGAACGCCTAGTAAATAGACGTTTAGTGTGGTATTTAGAGACACACAACAGTCTCTCCACTCGTCAATATGGCTTTCGTAAGGGACGTTCTACCATAGACCCCTTACTACGCTTGGATACGTATGTTCGTAATGCCTTTGCGAATAACCACTCAGTTATTGCCATATTTTTTGACCTTGAGAAGGCATATGACACAACTTGGAGGTATAATATTTTAGCCCAAGCCCACTCCTTAGGCCTTCGAGGCAATCTACCATCCTTCCTTAAGAACTTTTTAACTGACAGGCATTTCCGTGTTCGGGTTAATAATGTGCTCTCCCCGGACTTTATCCAAGCTGAAGGTGTC